TTGAGACAGGGTCTCACTATGTAGTTGAGACTGACCTGGAACTCGCTGTGTAGCCCAGGCTGGTCTCGAACTCACAGCCTCGCAGCGATCCTCCTGCCTCAGCCATGCTGGGATTACAGACATGCACCACCACGCCTGGCCTACTCTCATTCTTTATACTCTTAAAATTTACTGAAGCCAGGCACAGTGGCTCAGGCCTGTAACCCCAGACCTTGGGAGGCTGACGCAGGAAGATTACTGAGAGTTGAAGGCCAGCCTGGGCTACATAGTTCAGGGCCAGCTCAAACTACAAAGTGAGATCCTGTCTCAAAAAAAAACAAAAACAAAAACAAAAACAAAAAAACCTTACTGAAAACCCCAGTGAACTTTTATTTATGTGTCTCACACTTCATAATACCTTAAAAAACTTAGAAACTTAAAGATAATTCATGTTAAATGAAAGTACTGATGCATTATATATTAATACAACACATTAATATTATTTTTATGTGATGGGGCCAGAATTCAGGACTTCCAAGTGCTGTGTCGCTGAGCAGCAGCCCCATGTCCAGAAGAAACTCCCAGTGCAGTGGCGTTGCTCACATCTGTCCGCTCTGTCTGGGCTCCCACACATCCGCCTCTGTGTCCACTCTGTGCAGGGTCCACATTGTCAGCCTCTGGAAGACACTGAACCTCAGGAGCAAGGAACAAAGCAAATGTAGTCTGGGCCAGGGATTTAGCTCAGTGGTTCCGCCACATGCCTCAAAAGAGCAAGGTCCCAAGTTTGATCCCCGGTACCAAAAACAAAACAAAGCAAATGTAGTCTTTTCAAGAGGGGCTTGATGTTGAGGATCACTGATAACCGTTGTTCGAGATACAAACGTGAATGAATACCTTGACCTGTACCTTGCTTGGATGTAGACTGTCCTTGTCCAGTTCCTCTAAAATCTTGTTACCTCTCCATACGAAGTGAAGTCACATGCTGCTCACCTCTTCTGGTCTGCTGACACACAAGTTCATTTAGCCCTTGTTTCTTATAGTTCCTTCATAATTTCTGACTTTACTGATATACCACAGGAGCATATTTTCCTGGAGCTTTGGGATCTGTCCCCAAATCTTGGAGACTCGTGGAAAGAAGGAAATCACACTGTACCTGGGTCCCGACTCCTTCTGGGGAAGAGCCGTGGTCACCGAGGACACCTCCCGGAGCAGTTGTCTCCGGCAAACACCAGCCTTCAGGGATTGTCCCCTTTGGAAATGCATGAGCCCCAGAGCTCTCTCTAAGTTCCTCTGCCTGCCCGCTCGTCAGAGGCACCATTTGTCTTCTTTCTCGTTCTGCCCGCTCAGTGCCGTCTTCCTCTGAATCCAGACACGGGAAAGTGTGCGTGTCCAAGAAGAAGCAGGTCTTCCTTTTCTGTGCGATGTCTCAGGAGCCCCTGTGCCCATTGCCCTGAGCAGCTCTGTTGTTCTATTGAAACAGGCTGCTGGACATGGGTTCGAGACCCCTGTTTCCAGCCACCTTGTGTGACGGTGCCGGTTTGACCACCCCAGGCTTTGCTGCCGTCACAACACCCTCTGCCCAGAAGCCTTGGGCACTGCCTTCCCTTTGTAGCAAGGTTTAGTTCAGCCTCGTTGCCCTCTTCGGCTTCTCTGGAGCCATTCACTTGCAGTTCCTTTCGGCAGCCCTACTTTCTTGGTTCCTGGGAGTGCACACTGCCTGCCTCTGGGCTTCTTTTGGTGCCCTCGAACCCAGAAAGTCCCATTTTTCCACTTCCTCTGAATCCCAAGGGACTCTGCAAAACCAGGTCCCGAAATGGTGCTCACCTGACTAGTCTTCATTTCCCTCTCCTCACTACACAGTGACGTTGAACTTTGTACTGCACTGTGTAGTGTGTACTACACATCATTGTTGTTTATTTTGTTTCATTTATGTTATATTAATCTCTTCTCTCCAACAACCAGTTTCTTGAGAAGTTGTTTAGAATGTAATTAGGGGAAGGACCGGACTCCCTAAGTTGGCCCCTGCCCAGTGGTGTTCCCAAATTAATCTCTAAATTATCTTTGTACTACTCAATTCAGGTTGGTCTTATGTGTGAGCAGTTCAAGTCTGGTGAAACTAATCCAGCATAAAAATATTTCTAAGTATAGCTGCTATATGCTCATTCTAGATTTGCCAAATTTTATCCTGTAGCCATTTCTGCATTTGAAATTCAGCCGATTTCCACGGAGGTCCAGGAAGGGGGAGTTGCGAGGTTTGCATGCAAGATTTCATCAAATCCTCCTGCAGTGGTGACGTGGGAGTTTAACCGGACGACTCTGCCTATGATGACGGACAGGTAAATGAGGCAGCATGGGAGAGTAAAACTTCATACAAGTGTGGAGAGGAAAAAGACCATTGTGAGGCTGACTTTCATCGGCGGTCGTCAGGGCTGACTGCATAAGTCGTAGCAGACTCCAGCAGAGAATGGAGTCTTTGATGCCTGGCATGTGGGTGTGACTCTTTGTCCAGCACAGGGTTCGAATGGATGCAGATCATCCTGTTGTTCCTTTCCTCGGCCACTTGTGCCCGTTAGGCCCATGTAACTGGGTTGCAGCCAAGGTCTTAGGAAATCAGATGACACTTTCAGTGCTGGGAAGAGCAGTGCCAGGGTAGGGGCCTACCACTGCCCTGTCCTGTGCCTGCCCTCTGCTCCTAGCCCCTTCACACTGCACACACACGTGTGCACACACCCGCGCACACACCTTGTGTTCTGATGGTAGTTGGGGCTTAGGGATCGAGAACTTGGTGGTAACTCCTAAAAGTTTGGTTTCTGCCCTAATCCTAAATAGGCAGAAAGCATTTTCTAAAATGTTAGAGCACTAAGATAGGAAAATGTATTCAAGAAAGTGCTTTATTTTAAAAAATTATATCCAGGTGTATCTTGGAGAAGCTATAGGTTATAATAAGTAAAAAATCAAGAGTTTGGAAATAAACTATACTGGACTGTGGGCCATCTAATCTGTAATGTCAGATGAGACACTCTATAAAATTAGTTACAGATTTCACAAACCCTCCTGTGCAGAATAATTGGTGTTTGAAAGATCTGTAAACCTAGATGAAGCCAGTGGATCCAAATCGTGTGTTTTTATTTGGGGGTGCTGGGGTTTGAACCCAGGGCCTTGTGAACGCTCGGCGAACACTGCCATACCCCAGCCCAGGCTGATGCGTCGCAAGGCCTTTGAAGTATTGCTTCTTGCTCTGTAAAGAAAGTAAAGTATGTTCATCCTTGGCATAAGTTGTGTTAAATAAAATATATGCTGCAGGAAATTGACTTCTATTTCTTCTTATAACAGGATGGCCGCCTTGCCCTCAGGAGTGCTGCAGATCTACAACGTGGGCCCGGGAGACAGGGGCAGCTACTGCTGTGTAGCTGCCACTGTGGCCCACAGGCGCAGGAGTGCAGAGGCTGTGCTCACCGTCACCCCAGGTAGGGCTGGGGCGGCGTCTGCAGCCACTGAGCTGACGGTGGCGCGTGCAGCGTCATCCTCTGGGCGGTGTCGGCGGCAGAACTTCATCTCATCACCTTATCGTGATCTGCTTGGGAAATGGCCGTTTTTGTCTGTGAAACAACTTTCCCAGGCTAAATTGTTTTATGTCAACTTCTTTGAGAAAAACTATTTGTTTTATAAATATTTCACTTTTGTTTTTTAAAGTCATAAAATACAGTAAGTACAAAAAAGAGAATACGGTAATCTTTTTCCTCCAGTCTTCCCTGAGCTCCACTGTGGTGTGAATTCTTACTAAGGTTAGTGAAAGTACTAAAAAACATTTGAACCTCAGTCAAAAGTGAATGGTAACAGCTCTTCTAATAGATGTGAGGTTTGTCTCCAGAATGTGGCGGAAGGGAACCCGGGTAACTGTCAGCACGTAAATTGGTGGCACTACTGTGGAAATCAGTACAGAGGTGCCTCAGAAAATTAACAGAACTACTGTTGAGTCCAACAATCTCATTTCTGGGTGTGCGTGAGATCAGCGTGTTGGAGGGATACCTGCACCTTGCGGCACTGTTCACAGTAGTTGAGATATGGAGAAAACCTAACTCTCCAGTGACAGACACATGGATACCAAAACTGTGATCTGTACATACAGTGCAATAGCATGAAGTAACATGGGTAGATGTGAGGACATTGTGCTAAATTTAGTCAAATAAGCCAGAATATGCCACATAATTGCCCTTTCATGAGGTATCTAAATTGTCAAGCTCAGAAGCAGAGTACAGCAGTATCCACAAGAGGCGTAGTGGGCGGGTGTTTGCTGGAGGGTACCACTTTCAGCTGTACAAGATGAGTGCATTCTGGAGTAATAGGTCCTGTGTCACATAGGACCTACAGTTGACCATACTATATTTTACAGCTTAAAAATGGCAGAGAGGATACATCCTATGTTAAGTTGTCTTACTATAAAAATTTTTTGAAATGAAAAGGAAAAAGTAAAAGACATAAGTGATAGATACGTTTATAGTCTTGATTATGGTGATAGTCTCACAAGTATACGTATATTCATCTCCAAACTCGTAAGTCATATACATCAAGTATGGTGTTTTATACATTAATCATATTTCAATAAAGTAGTTAAAAAGGAAAAAGAACTGAATGATATGGAAATAACCTAATGTCCATCCCATGATGAATGGCTAGCTAAAATACTTCCCACCTGTATAATTAAATATTATTCACTTCTTACCCATTAAAAAGGAAGATAGGTGTCACAACAGCATGGATAAATCTTGAAAATGTGTGAAGTGAGAATAAACAGCCAGAAAATGCCATATATTGTATTGCTCTGTTTCCATGAAATGTCTGGGATAGGCGAATGCAGAGAGTCAAAAAACAGGTTATGACGATCAGCCTGCGAAGTAGTGATTGGAAGACGACTGTATTTCTTCCTGGAGTGGTGAAAATGTCCTGAATTAATTATAGTCATAGTTGCATACCTGAAGATTCTAAAACCTACTGAGATATAGACTTCAGGTGTGTGAGTTGCGTGGAATATGAGTTGTATCTCAGTAGAAACAGTGAATAAGAGCTGATGTTTTAACACACCTTGTCTATACCTCACTTTTTAACTTCATGTTGTATTCTGTCGTTTCCTCCTCAAAGCTAAGGAGTCCAAACCCTTCCACACTCCAACCATCATAGCCGGGCCCCAGAATGTCACCGCCTCTCTCCACCAGACGATAGTTTTGGAGTGCATGGCCACTGGGAATCCCAAGCCGATCATTTCTTGGAGCCGTCTTGGTAAAGTCTTCGGATTCCTTTAACTTTGTTCAGACTAAACTGGTAATATGTCATTTTAGATAAAACACATTTGGCAGTTAATTCTGTATCTTCTCTTGGCATTTCGCTGTATGAAGAATGTTTTCCTCTGGAGAATTTTATACTTCTCATGACCGATGGCTTGGATAGTCCTCTCTTGATGCAATTTCAGATTGTATATTACATCATGTTAATGGAAGCGTTCTCTTTGTGTTTGAAACAGATCACAAGTCCATCGATGTTTTTAATACTCGAGTGCTTGGAAATGGCAATCTCCTGATATCTGACGTCAGGTTGCACCATGCTGGGGTGTACGTGTGTAGGGCCACCACCCCAGGCACCCGCAACTTCACAGTTGCCATGGCAACCGTAACTGTCCTAGGTATGTTTTCTTTCACTGTATAATTGGAAGAATCTTACATTTTCACATCTGCCATTTTATCTCAGAGCCTACCACTTCCTTTCTTGAGTTTTGTAGCACTGATCTGAAAGTTGATGAAAAGTATCATAAAGGAACAGTGAATGTCAGGAGAAAATTAAATTCCCGTGTTACAATGTAACAGCACGATCCTCTTGAAGTCACTGTGCTGTTTGCACTCATACTGTTACGTTCCCTCCTACCTAAGCTTCCTGTCCTGCTCTCCTCACCTTCCACATATTCACACCCAGCCTGAGGTTGTTACCTGTCCCTCTTCCACACTCCCCGGGGCTTCTGCTGGCTTGGTGAGAGAGGACTGTGTGCACACACCTTGGGTCCGCGGAAGGCTGGGGGACAGGAGCAGCGTGCAGATGCCCTCCGGACCAGCACACACTTCATGGACCCTTGTCACACCTGTTGGCACCACAGAAATGTTCTCTTTCTTCTTTGAAAATAGCTCCTCCTTCCTTTATCGAATGGCCAGAAAGTTTAACAAGGCCTCGAGCCGGCACTGCTCGGTTCGTGTGCCAGGCTGAGGGGATCCCTGCACCCAAGATGTCCTGGCTGAAAAATGGACGGAAGATGCACTCAAACGGCAGAATTAAGATGTACAGCAGGTGAGCCGTGACTCTCCCACTGCTGTGTGGGCAGGTTAGCAGTTTTCTGTAAAATGATGATTTTATCAAGTAAACAGACTTGACAGTTAAAACTAAATTTAAATAAACAAGCAATTAAAGTTTATAGCACTGGCATGCCCGGAGTTTGTGTTTTATTTACACATGGGTGATAGAAGTGGTGGATGACCGTGAAGTGAGTTTGGTGATTCCCCAACCCCAGGTTCCAGCCCTGGTGGGTATGATCAGAGTTAGCACACCTTGCTTTGAGGTCTGGTTCCTTCTTACACCAAGTGGGAAAACCAGAACGAAGTAGTTCATTCTCTGAGAATTCCTCCAGGTTGGGCCGTGCACTGTTGTTAAGTATGAATTCTTGTGACATTCTCATTTATGTTCAGCAAAGCTAAAACATGTTGCTGACCTGGTTTTCTGTGACGAATTGAGTAGTATTCTGGAGTAAAGCACTTTCTTGATAAAGTGTTTTGCTTGTTTTTGTGGTGCTGTGGATGGAACCAGGGCTTTGTGCAGCCAGGCCAGTGGTCTGCCCTGAGTCACAGCCCAGCTCCAACAGCCAAATTTGCAGAAGGAGTTTATGTTGTCACCCACCGCAAAGAAGATTTGGACATCATGAATACTTAGGAAACTCAGAAAGTAAATTAGGGTAGTTTTAAGTAATTAATACAGAGTACTCTTAATAAGGGTGGATTATACCATTTTTCATTCTCAGTAACTTTTGTCATTGAATACCAGAGTATGTTTAGCAGTGTCATTCTTAGAATTTTTCATGGACATAATTTTTTCCTCCCTCAGTAAACTGGTAATTAATCAGATTATTCCCGAAGATGATGCCATTTACCAGTGCATGGCCGAGAACACCCTGGGGTCTGTCCTGTCTCGAGCCCGGCTGACGGTGGTCATGTCAGAGGACAGGCCCAGCGCCCCCTGCAATGTGCACGCAGAGACAGTGTCCAGCTCAGCCATTCTGCTGGCGTGGGAGAGGCCCCTCTACAATGCAGACAAGGTCATCGCTTACTCAGTGCACTACATGAAAGCAGAAGGTGCGCATTGCAATAACATTTGCTTTCCAGGTGCCCCCTGGGGCCAGGCATTGTTTTCAGGTGTCTTGCATAGTCCATAAAATAGTTTTGAAATTCTGCAGCATGAACCTCTTCAGTAAAAAATCTGTCGCCTGTACTTTACTTCATTCTCAGTGCCCTGTGTACCTTATATTATGTTAGCGTAGTTTAAGATTTTTCTGTTTAGAAATGAGTGCTGGCTAAGGCAGTGCATCTCAGCCTACTGAAAATCAGAGTGGTGTACAGAGGAACCTCATGCTAGCCAAGATGTAAACTCCTTACCTGAGACCCGGTTTAAGAATTCAGTGATGGGCAGGCTGCTTAGTAAAATAGTGTCGGCACTGTGGCATGCTCTTCTTAAGAGATAAATAAACATGGTCAAATTCTTCATGTACTGGATTCTGTGTCTTTTGAATGTTTTTCAAAATCATTTGGAACTTTTTGAATATTGAACAAGATACTCTTTACTCTTTACTGATACCTTGTTTGCCTTATGAAAGCAAAACCCAAATCTGTCTTAAAATTCTTAGTTCCATTTTTGTTCTTTAATCCTTATATCTTATTTTTGGCTAAAACCTTAGAGGACAAAGAAGAGTTACTTATAAATCCTAGAGATTTCTCTATCAGCTTTTCATAGAAACCACAGGAGAGGTTTACAGATTTTAGTTCTGGACACAAACACCCTAGCTTTTTGCAGTATACAGTAAGCACAAATTCAAATGCCCAAAGAATGATGTTAAGAGACAGGTGTTTTGTTGTTGCTGCTATTTCTTTTTTTCAGTTTGAAGTAGTGTTTTGAGAGGAATATTTTAAATGTAAATCGGGTTGTGGAAGCAAGAAGAATTGAAGTGTGATAGGAGGATGTTAATTCCCTTTCTGGTGATTTAGGGGTAAAAGGAATGCAGGTCTTGGTGGAGCCCACTCTTGTTCCCATTATGGTTGTTTCATTAGCGCCTCTGCAGGCGGCACAGTGGTCTATTCAGGGGCAGAACAAGGCTTTTTAATTCGAACTCAAGGGCCTTGTCTGGGAGGTCAGAAATCTACTATGCCATTCCTAATTAACCAGCCATTAGCCAGTCTGTTGTGAAATGCCTGTAATCTTGTCTAATTAAAATGCTATCAAGTTAATTCAGAAATGTGGGAAAACTTAATGCTGGAATTTGCCTTCTGTTTTGTTTATGAATCCAGGTGGGGGAAGGGACTTGTCCTTGGAGAGTGGTGGTGACTGAGGTGAAGAGGGGTTTCGTTGTGAACAGTCTGGGCCCTGCCCTTGTTCGGAGACAGTATCTGCTCCATAGGAATTAAGCCCCACCAAGACAAATCTTCCTCTGTACTTTGCCATGCATATTTTATTAAGAATTGCTGAGAATTTTTTTCTCCTCAAAAAGATCACTGTAGGACAAAGCTTTTTTAAGCACCTTCAATATCCCTCAGTTCTTTTGCTTTTTGTATCAATAAAAGAATGACTTGTGTCCATCGAATTTAGTAGAATCTTTGGGGGCAGAATGAGGTCTTTTGCAGGACAACTTTGGGTTCTGTTTGGTTTTGTAAGAATGGAATCATTCCATTCCTGTCCCTTCGCTGATGTTTAAAGAGGAAAAAGGAACAGGGTTATATTCACAGACCTTCGGCTTGAGCTCTGCATGTTATCTGGACTCTATCCCTGCCACAGGCTCTGGTTAGAGGGGAAACGGAGTTAAAGAAATTTAATTCTTTTTAGTTTGATTTATTTAGGAAAAATGCAGACCAGTAATTTGCAGCAAGACCATTTCTGTGGTTACTTTTAGAAGATAAAGACTTTTCTGTTCATGAAAGACTTTTGCATAAGGGTCATAAAAGAGATGAGGTTAGGCCCGAGAACCAAGAATTTCATAGCAAGGGAGAGGCTTTTGCTAAGTTTATTTTGAATACTCGTAATCTGTAAACAGGGATCCTTTCCTGCAGGTCTGAATAATGAGGAGTATCAAGTAGTCCTTGGGAACGACACGACTCATTACGTGATCAGTGACTTGGAGTCGGCCAGCAACTACACGTTCTACATCGTAGCCTACATGCCGCTGGGGGCCAGCCAGATGTCGGAGCACGTGACCCAGAGCACCCTGGAAGACGGTGAGGTCCCTGTGCTCCAGGGGGAGAGAGCAGCGCTCTTTGGTTAAGAAGATATTTAAATAGTAGTCCTTTGCCCATGGCTCACCCAGGATAAAGAAGTTTTATTTATGATTCATAATACAAATCTGCTTGTAACCTTATTGTATTTTCTAGTTTAAATTGCAAATTTCTTTTTTTACCTTGTAGAGCAGAATATAAGTTTTTCTAGGCAGGAGTAAATATAATGAATATTATATAGTAAGTGTTTTAGAATGATGGTGTTGGACTTCTGGAACTGGAAGTTAATGAAATATAGTACTTTTCAGTTTAAAACCCTCAGATAATACAGTATGTATTAGGTGGGTATGTGTAACTCTTGCTCTGTTTGTCGCTGTACCACTACGTTTCGGGAGGACCGACCTCCACGCGCAGTGATAATGGTGCTGGCATGGGATGCATGCCTGAAATCCCAGCACTCTGGAGGCTGAGCCGGGAGGAGAGTCTGGGGCCAGCCTAGAGCAGAGTAGGGATTTGGAGGCAGAGGCTCGACTCATTGAGACCACCCTGGAGAACTGGTCCTTCTTGGCCCTACGCAGGCTGTTGTGGAAGATGGGCTTGCTCTCTTTCCCAGGGGTTCTGGGAGGCCCATCTTCAGTATAGAAGAGAGGTGTTAATGTGTGTTTGATTTCACTATTCTCCCTTTGCAGATGTTTTCTCACCCTTGGAGAATAAACCACTTGTTTTCTAAATAACGTTAAATAAGTAATTCCAAATCTGCTCTTTTTTCATTCAGTCCCAGATCTTTACGTGATATTTATAATGCCACTTATTTAAATCAGAGTTTCACTGAATAAATAATTTCCACTCATCTGGATGCTAAATTCCAACTTTTAATTTTCATTTAAGAGTATATTGCTGGGGGTCCAAGATCTTCTAAGAAGGATCCCTGACCCACCCCTTACCAGTGAAAATCCTTGCTCATTCCTTGTATGGTTGTTTCCCCATTGGATCCCCATTTACTCAGTATTACCTAAGCAACTGCACTTGTAATCTTACTAGTTGCCTGCAGTTTTGTCCCTCTTGAATCTTCCTCTCTCATTGCTTTGTCCCATAAAACATCTTTGAGAAGTTGGATGAATGGGCAGCCCACTTTCTGGCCCCCCTTCTGTCTCTGAGTGTTGGGCAGGGGGTTCAGCTCAGTGGCTCTGCTGCCTGCCTCACAAGCTTGAGGTCCCAAGTTTGATCCCTGGTACCAAAAAAAAAAAAAAAAAAAGG